AAGGAGAAGGTTTCAAGGGTACTTTTATCCTTCCTCCTTTAAACAGGCTTGCGGCTGGAGGCTCAAACTGAAGGGATGCAGGAAAGATTTGCCATCCTCATGCCTATGGTACTTCAAAATCATGAGAAAACCCATCTTTTTAAAAAATTTGTTCCATGGTGGACTTCCTGCTGTCAGTTATATGGGTTTTCCTCTGTATTTTGCCTTCTTCTTCTTCTTCTTCTTGTTCTTCTTGTTCTTGTTCTTCTTCTTCTTCTTCTTCTTCTTCTTCTTCTTCTTCTTCTTCTTCTTCTTCCTTTCTATGACAAAGTCTTACCTGAAAGGAAATGGCTCCCATTTTCCCCCATCTGTACAGGGGCTGATGGTCGCCAAGGAAACGTGCCCGTCTTTGCTCAAGAGCCACCAGGATCTGACCCAGCCAAGCAGTCAGACCGTATTCTGGCAAGTTTCAAGAGCCACCAGGATCTGACCCAGCCAAGCAGTCAGACTGTATTCTGGCAAGTCCTGCAGGAGGAGGGCGAGACCATCGACTCTTTGGGTAAGGAGATTTTTGCTCTGGTCTCCTCCACAACTCCTCGATTGATTTGCCATTTGTAGAACTAAAGGAGGAAAAAGCAGATAAGCAAAAAGAAGAGAACCTCAGTTCAAATTCTGAGTCCATATACAGTAGGACCTTTTATCCATGTAGTTAGTATCCACAGATTCACTTATCCACGGTCTGAAAATATTAAAAGAAAAATCCCCCAAATATTTGTAACTATGATGTTCCAGGAACCGCCAATTCGTCCCTGTCCCCTCCAGCAGGTGCCAGAGGGTCGTTTACTTGAACGTAGCGCTAAACCATGCTAGGTACATAGCTTTCACTGTTACAATAGTGTTCACCATAATCTCTGTTTTTCAGCCTCCGTTGGCGGGGGGGGAGGGTGTCTTGGAACCAAATCCACCTCTGGATATGGGAGTCATCCTGTACCTGAAAAGAACCAATAAATCCATGAGTTATATTCCTTTCCCAGCTTTTTTGCTTAAATTATAGCTCTTCTGTGGAAATTTCATGGAAAAGCAACAATATTGACAGAGGAGTGAGATGATGAATATTACTCATCATCTTCTGGCTTTGCCTCACGCATCTTTCCGTTGAAGGCAGGATCCTGGCTCTTTTCACCCCTCAGCCCTTCAGCTTTGTTGGCTACCCCTGCCAGGACGGTGAACGGTGTCAGAAATAGACCATTTTCAGTCTCTTTGTTATTGTTGTTGTTAAGTAAGGAAAGAGGTAGCAGAGAAGGATGGGAACCAGGTG